GCACCGGCCGACGTGTTTTCCGATGTGGTTACGATGGGGCTGCGATGACATGATGAGGGAGCTCGGTGAGAGCCCGGTGAAATTTAACTCCGAAGTTAAAATTTCACCGAGCTACCACCGATGCGGTTTTAAGCAACAAACGCCACGGATGTCCGGCCGGTGTTCGGCCGAGTTCGGTGAAAATTGCATCGCTGGCTCATCGTAACCTCATCAGCCGGGCTATGTGACTAGGCCATTATACACAACGTTTTTAGGTCTCGCAATTTTGTGATGACGTATACACAACGTTTTTAGGTCTTTCCATATCGTGATTGTACAAATCGTACATATCGTACAGGAAACTTTCCTTTGTATAACTACGATATTGAGAGATCTAAACCACTGGTGTATATGCCATATTGTTCCAACAAGGCTCGGATAAATATTTTATTTCATCCTCAAAAACTGGTGGAAAAGCAGTAAAAACAATTGCACTGAAAACAAAAATTATTCACTAAAACGATCATGAAAAATATGCATTAATAATTTTAACATTGAATTGTTTGCTATCGGAGACCGTTAGGCATTACATAATGCGTATGTTTGTTTTACAGAATGTTTTCAATATTAATTGGTTTAAGAGACAAACAATGTTGAATTTTGTTCACCATATCGCTACCAATACTTTCCCAGATTTAAGTCAATATAAAGTAGGGTATTGCACGTATTTAAACACCAAAAAACATAAGTTAATTCATATTTAAATAGTTTAAACATTTATATAACACTCACCATTCAAAATATCCCCAAATATCTTCATCTTGGATGGATGTTCACAGATCTGCGCAGTCAAATGAACAGGAGGAGTTTTATATTAAAAAAGTAACGACCAACGAAGGTGCATTTAGCCTAATGTGGACATTGCTTATGTATCATTGGCTCAAAGTCACATTGATTTGATGCCTCCTCGCATTCTGCAGGGCTCTGTACCCAGTCCTCTGATCATAGGACGACAGTGATTCGAAATGAATAGAAACAGGAAAGGAGCTAATACGTTTGTTACTACGTGGTCCAAAATTGCAACGAAATGCAAAGTTTTGAGTTTAGTGTTGCTACGCTGGATTCTAGTTACATATGGCCTGAACAATGTTGGTATGTGAACTTTTTAGGCCATAAAACTATAATCCAGTGTAGCAACACTGAATTTAAAACCGGCTAAAAACTTTGCGTTTCGTTGCAATTTTGGTACATAGGTATATAGAGGTTATTTAATGGGAGGTTTTTGATACATGGTACAGGCCCGTAGCCAGGATTTGCCAAGGGGGGGTTCATTTTTCAAAAATTTCCAGGGGGGGTTCACATTTGACAATTTTGGCCCAAATGTGGCTAAAATCACTTGACAAGTGCTCAAAATGGTGAAAAACTGCATGATTTTGAAAGAATTTTTGGCCAGGGGGGGGGGTTCACCCGAACCCTGCGAACCCCCCCCTGGCTACGGGCCTGTGGTATATCTGAGGGAAATACCATATGTCTACCCGAGGGACAACTTTTATTTACCGAGGGATATGCCCTGTATCAAAAATCGAGCATTTAATAACTGATTTATCCTATACTTAGTAGATTATGAGGATTAAATATGAAGTAAATGTTATTGAACCCTCGTGTAATAATTACAATAATGATAATTACAATCGAAACATGAATATTTTATCTCAAATTAAAGTTCATTAACTGTTTTTTATAATCAACAGTTTTTACCATTTAATAGAATATGAAATTAATATCAATTCAATAGGTCCATGGTTATACACGTACTGTCCTGATGAGCGAAAAAAGCACTGTACGAAATTCCCGGGAATAGCTGATGAGCGGGTGATATATTTATCTCCCGCTCACCTCAGCGGGAGATTGAACAAATATTTCACTCTATTGAGGTGAATACCTGTACATCTTTCACAAGTGATATTCCACGAAGCCCGAAGGGCAAGTGGAATATCACCTTGTGAAAGTGCTACAGGTATTCACCGAAAATAGAGTGAAATATTTGTTTTATTATATCACTGTCTAGCTAAACATCCCTAATATTATTAAGTCATTAAGTCTTCAGATATTTTTACGAATCTACTCGATTCGTCTGCCATTTTGACTTAATTATTTACACTGAACGAAAACAAATTCTTTGAAAATTCCCGGGAGCGTGGGATATCGCTAGATATCTCACGGTTGTCTTATCTGATTAGCATTGCCATTGAATATCGCCAGATATCCCACGACATGTGACCCGGTTTTGACCAATCATACTGTCGCTAGCTAGATAGTGATATAATAAATATATATATCACCCGCTCACTTTATATATCAATTATATTCCCACATGTTATCTACCTGTACCTATAACAGTACCAAGTATGGGATAAAAGAGGTATATGGAGTGAAACCCCCGTGGACACTTTATGGCGTTTGCTGACACTATATTTATATCCAAAGAACATGTGTACGTTTTATAGATTTTATTACATAAAATATAACATATTACAATTTAACCTTTTTGGCATGGGGAGACGGCTATCTATCGATCAGAGCTTGCGTAATTGTATACCAAAGAAACTCCGTTCACGAGTATACTTGTTTTTGGGCTCTTATCCCAAAGATTAATGATTATATAAGGTTGCATAATCATGATTTTGCGCTGTCATTACGTAACATTATCTCATGATTACGTAATCGTTTCTTTGGTATACAATTACGCAAGCTCTGATCGATAGATAGCCGTCTCCCCATGCCAAAAAGGTTAAATTGTAATATGTTATATTTTATGTAATAAAATCTATAAAACGTACACATGTTCTTTGGATATAAATTGTGATTTAACAAGTATTTGTTAAATCTGGTTTATATCACAGAGAACAGTGTCTGTCCTACCAGCCCAATTAAAAGTCTGTTGACAGATCCAATTAGGCCGGGACAATAACTTATCTTAATGCTATACCAACTGTTCTGTAGTAGTTTGGTTTACACAGTTTTTGCTTTGCATCTTAATAAGATGATTGACCAGGCTTATTAAAATATAAGTGACACTTTTTTACTTGGCATAGTTCAAAGTCATAGTTTACTCTTGACCATGGCCACCGTTATTGGACTCAGTCCAGTGATCTGTTCACATTGTCTGACTCTCATACCCATTTTTAGTGATAGAGGTCGCACCACGGTCCCTTACCTACCTATAAGCCATTGCATGAATCCTATCTATATATATTTGTGCATAACTATCACAATTGTGTGCACTTAACTCTGTCATGATGACAACTGCTAGAAATGTGCAATAAAGAAACTAATTATTTCCTTTAAATTGCCCTCGAAATGACCCGTACCCACATACTTTGAAACATTGTATTTTTTCAGGGGCACCACTGGATTCTGAAACTCTGTAATCTTATGTAACTTTCCACAAGGAACAAAATGATATAAAACATGATATTGTGGCAATACTACTATGAGTTTATTGGGGATGCATACATATGAAACACCCTGTATTGTGTTTTATGGACTATGATTGCAATTTTAAGCGCCTGTCGTCCACTGATACAAATCCTGTTTTATCGATGAAGTAGAGAATATTACCTTAGTTTTGCGACACTTGTTATGAACAAACTTTAGGGTGTTTCACTTTTCAACTTTTGGGGATCAAAATGGAGTTTTGCCCATTTGGTCGCCTAATGAAGGAAACCAAGCACAAAAATTGTCATCCAAATCCGCTGACGTTCATGCAAACTTGGTCGATGGATAAATGAGTTGAGTTTTTTGGGACTGAGTTTAACAGAGCTGATTTTTACTGGCTGTCGAATTGAGTTTAGTTTTTTTGTGGTTGAGATGACATAGAAGCAATGACAGTCTAATTTGGGAAGTAATCAATTGAAAGTATTCAAAATAAAACAAAACTTACAACAAAAATAGTGTTCATGAAATCGTATATATTCTACACAATCAATGTTAAATATACACAATATAATTGTATTGTATAACTTTTACATGTAAAGAGCAATATATTGACCCTTTTGTTTCTAAAACAAATCACCATAAAATGTGCTATTGTATATTTTTAAGACAATTTGTAATGAAAGCTTCAACCAGAATGATGACACAAACCCACAATAATTCAGAACAAACAGTTGGAAAAGGACCTAAAACATGATCCAGATAGCACTGCAGAAAAATTTAATCAATAAGATGTCTCCAATCCACGGCAAATGTAGATAGTGTTGTTTTGTTTGTTTTCTTGTTGTTAATATGTCTCCATGCAACTGGTGTTGCTATGAGTGTCTATGTTGCCTTTGCTTCACTTTTACTGAAATATAAAACACAAATTATCATTTCCAAGTCTGAGAACAATACAACACATTTTATATATAGGTACATTTGCTAAATTCTACAAACATGTAAATCAACAGGTCAAAGGGGTAACTGACAATTTCATCAATTTCGTAGCCATAGTTTTCTCCTGATGACCATTGTTAATTGTGTTTTATGGATTATGGCGAGGGTTTTGCGAATGGATGTTCTCTTTGAAACGCCTATGGGCTCTGGGACTAGATTTTGTCTACCCCACATCATTTGAGACTGAATGCTCTGTCTTGTATGAATACTTGTATCTACAACTATTTTTGATGTTACGAGTATTGGTTATCAAATGTTTCTCCAACATGTGCTGTAAAGGCTTCAGTATGAATGAAATGTCCATTGGTGTGGTCTTGGATTGTGATATTGGTTCTTGAATGGTCGGGGGAAAGGGAGTATTTAGAGCTAAAACTTTCTTTTCACGTTAGATAATTGTTTTGGGATTTATGAAATTTGTTTTTCCTAAGAATGGTATGCATTTAGAGTTTACTTTTCTTGGTAGATTCAATTACAACGTTTGGTCCTTTCCGTTTGGTCCTTCTGCTTAGCCTCATTTATTGAATTGTATATGTTGCACATTTTGCAAAAGCAATGATAACAAATTCGACATTACTTGTGGTACTTACATATTTCTCTTTATTAAGCCCATCTTTGAAAAGTTGGAATATGTATGTTTCTTCTCCTTGTTCATTTTCTCTGAACTCAAGAATCACAATCATACCAGGGAATCCATCATCACTTTTGAGGATAGCTTCCGAATCTAATAATGTAATACGACAGTATGTGAACAAGGCATATGAATCAGAAAGGAATACATCATCAATCTTAATCTTTGCAATTGATCATTTGCATGTTATATGAGCTGGATATAACGCCCGATGATCGGATAAAATGAACGGTGGGGGTGGGGGATTAGCCCATTTCGATAGAAAATTCAATAAATCTTGAAGATTTATTTGTTGAAGAAAAGGTTTACAATTGCATTGCTTGATGTAGAGGCGCAGTACAAGGAGAACTATGTAAGTTCTACTACGATTTTTGAAACGATAGGCTTCAAAGATATAAGATCTGTTTAAGAAGGCGCAACGTCACCATCGTGCAAATGTTAATGTTTTTGCTATAAATCAAGCAACGGGGGTCTACACGACTTGTTAAAATACTTGTAAGTGACGTAATTATCACAAAATTAATGGCATGGCTGGTTTTGTAAAACACGTTCCCACTGTTATGTAAAAACTAACTGAAAATAATTAAAACTGAACGGAGGGGGGGTGAACGGAGGGGGATTGACATTTGCACGTTGGTGACGCTGAGCCTTTTTTAAAATATCTTATCCTAGAAGCCTATCGGTTAAAAATCATGAAATACCTTACATATTTCCCTGTGTGCTGCCCCTATTCATTTTGAAATGCACTTGTAAACCTTTCTTGAAAAATAAGTCTTAAAGATGTGAATTTTCAATCCAGAATGGGCTGACCTCCCCCCCCCCCCTTCATTTTGTCCGATCACAGGGCGTGGATATAGAGATTGTAGCCCAACATTTCTCAGAAGTTAGAAATCTATAGAATTTGAAAGAATGAGGTAACTCTGGAGATTAAATTATGCCCAGAATTCAACTATGTCATAAAAAGAGGTAAATATAAGTCCTTAATGATTGAATATGCAAATCTCTAAAAATATCATTAAAATGAGACTTCAGCGAGATTTGAAATCTATACAGCAAATGGTTAACTGCAATCGAATCTTTATATCACGGGATGTAATCGAATTATTTTGGCAATGGACCGGAATATGACATTTTACAAGAATAGCAATAGTTTAGCACAATCTATTAACCAATCCATGCAATGACTATTGTATTCCATTCATAATTTTGTTGGAATTCTGTCGGAGCCCACTTTTGGTCAAATACGAAGTTATTGAAAACGGTGCAGTCTTTTACAACGAAATAGCATTTTTTTTGATTAACTTTTTACAACATTTAAGTATGCTCCAGTAAATTGCCAAATGTACGAAAGAACCCCGTGTATTATGGCTGGTCATCTGGACCAATGTATCGTCATACTTTAACGCCGTAAAAACGATTTTATACGCCGTACGTAACCCTACTATCACACCAAACTACACCGTAGTTCTCACTACGTTCTCGAAAACGGGCTCAAACTGTGCACGAACGGATTTGACGTACTAAGAACCCACTAAGAACCATTTGGGATCTGTTTACAAACTTCATGAAACTACTAGAACGAGTAGGTCCTCCAGAACTAAAAGCATGCTAAAAAATTTCTGGTGATCGTCAAAACGTTGCCGAATCGGTTTTAAACTGTGTGCGAACTGAATGAACGTAGCTACAACGTTCTACGGTCTGTTTACGAACTTCATGGAGTTTTCCGGACGTGGAATGTGATTTAGAATTTTGAATCGATTGAAAATTCGATGGCGACCATACCGTTCTGTAATCAGGTCATGATGACCTTCTAGACTAAAGGACGCGTTAAACGACGTTGCACACCGACGTGGTGCGACCTGAACGAACTGTGAATGAGATGGACGTATTGAAGACTGTTTATGAACGAAGTAGCTAATTATTTTAGACATATCTCCCGACCTCAGCCAGATTGAGCCCGTTTTACGACGTTTTCGTAGGACTGGCAACAACGGGTAAGAACTAGTTTGGTGTGATAAGGGGGTAAAGAATTACTTTTAACACCGTTAAAAACAATTTTGTACGCAGTCAAAATTGATTTTAAGGCGTCAAAAATAATTATGTACGGCGTTAAAATTCATTTTGAACGGCGTCAAAAATAATTTTTATGTATTTTTTCTATCTCACCATTACTTAATGTAAAATTACACAACAAATGGACTTAATGTGAAAATTACATATCAAATGGACTCAATGTAAAAATTACATATCAAATGGACTTAATGTAAACATTACATATCAAATGGACTTAATGTAAACATTATATATCAAATTTACTTAATGTAAAAATTTCTTATCAAATGGACTTAATGTAAAAATTACATATTAGATGGACTTAATGTAAATATTACATATTAAATGGACTTAATGTAAAAAATTACATATCAAATGGACTTAATGTAAAAAATTACATATTAAATGGACTTAATGTAAAAAATTACATATCAAATTGGTTCAGCTGGCATGGGTGTACAACAAAATACATGTTTTTTGAAAAATCATTTACTTACGCACATAGAATTGAAGTTTTTTGAACTTTTTCATTAGGGTATCCTTGTAAGCTTCCACTTTTGCTTTGAATTCCGGAAAACGTTCTGGGTCCGTTTCGGAAAGTTTTTCTTTTATTCTGAAAATGGCAGGGATGATAAATCTTGCCTCAACTATCAGATGTCCATATGCATTATAAAATGATATTTATCCCATACTTGGGCGTGTTACAGGTACATAAAGCCGGTTTGTAAATGATTCAACGGTTGGTTGGAAGTTTTCTGAACTTTGGCTAAATGAACAATTTGAACCAAATGACCAAGATTGGTATGGGATAAACAGATCATCCTACAGTCGGTTCAGGATATTGGGAATATCCCTTGGCCAATATAATATATTTACCCTCGGGACCTACGTCCCTCGGGGAGATATATTATATTGGCCTCGGGATAATCCAAATATCCTGAACCTCAAATAGGATAATATCTGTATACTACATCGGGTCCTAATTTGTGCCGGGATCAAATATATTCATATCATCTGCTTCACCTGTCGTGTTTGGGATTACAGACAAAACGTTGAAAAGCTGGTGAGAATGATGAAAGTAAAAAGTATGTTATTTTGAAAAAATAATGTAAAGCTGACTTGCTACAACAATGTTTTTTTTAACATTTGAATTAATTTAATACATGTGATCCATCGTATTTTTTTCTTTTTTAGCATTGGCTAATTCCAGACCTAGAATGTATAAATGTGTATACAAAATGTATTTCTAGCTTATTAAGGTCTCATAAAAAACATTACTCTATTTTTCACCAGTTACCATCTGGGAGGGGGTGACCGATAACCCTATGAATGAATCGTAGTTATGGGTGCGGCGCCAAAACAGATGCTGGGGAAATCAATGCTTATAACAAAGGGGTATAATTACAAGAAAACCCAACATGTATATATCACAAAAATAAGCTTAACTTATACTATATAGTTTTTTACAATTGTTTATGAGAAAAAAACATACAAACATTGCGTCACATTGTTACAATATGTTTGCTTTATAATGATCCAAAAATGAAAATAAAAGAAATTAAAATTCACCAAAATAAAGAGAACTTACTTGTTAACATATTTCTTTAATTCTTTCAAGTACAAATTTTTTTTGGGGAGATCAAATATTTCCAACTTATTATCGAGAACAAAATCGTATCCTTCTGTTGTAGTACTGCCATCATCGTGTCCAACTTCAGCATCCTCGGCGGACTTGTTGCCACCAATCTTTGAGTCATCTATGGTATCGGAACGCCGCTTGACGTGCTAAAATGAAGTATTTTCATTAAGAAAGTGACATGTACTTTTATGCATACTTTCAATTCTTAAGTATTGTTCATGCACCGATTATTCCTACCCTGTTTTCAACACATCATACACTAGTACTTATAAAACGGTTAAAAAGGTTAAGCATCTGTTTTCATCTCATGATACACGGGCGGATCCAGGAACCAACAAGGGGAGGGCCCAAAGTTGAAGTATTGAAAAAAAGATTTTTAGGCCCCAAAAACCCAAAAAATGGTTCCAAATTTTAAAAATTTAAGGCCCATTTTTAATAATTTGGCCAAAAATTAAAAAATTAGGACTTATAAGGCCCATTTTTTCCAAAAAGGCCCACTAAACAGGTCTATAAGTGTTGGGCCGAACATTTTTGGGCCCAATTTCTAACAATGCATTGTTGATGAGGAGAAGTTACCCCAGTCGATACAACAATAGACAACTACATAGCTTGAAAATATGTTAGAAGATATGTTAATAAATCATTTGAAAACTTGCATAGTCCATTACCACATAACAGCCGAAAATTCCAATGGTCCTTTTGGAAAAGTGAACAACCACGTAGCCTATTTCGTATTCAAAATTGTTCACAATACGAGCATCTTGATTGATTAGAATGATAATTGATGAATATGTACTGTTATGAGATGTTATGGCAACTACCTTTTAATTGCGTTGTTTTCTCTAAGCCAAATCACTGGTCCCAACCTGGTTATAAAGACGTTACATCTTACTTTTTAAAAAATGGATGAACTTCTGTCGGAGGAAATCTTACTATTATCATTTTCACGAAGAAGGGGTCAATTTGCTAAAAAACAAATTAGTCACTCAAGGGACCAAATAATCGAGTCTGAATTCCTGATGATAATGATTGACAATTGACCTGTGCATAGTTTAATCTCAAAATGGCGCCATTCTTTTGAAACGCCAATCCTCCAAAATATCCCCAATGTAAGAACCAGACCAATGATATGGTATGAATAAACTACAGGCACGGACAGTGCACACCAGTAAATTGGATATGAGCACTTGATCATTATTGGCATATCATTGGACAAACAGATGGAAGAGTAACGGATCCCAATCCCATAAATTCAAAATGTGAGCTACTAAAATGCAGTTACGTCCTTTAAAATAAGGAGAAAATATTGTCAACATGTTTATGTTTATGCCACAGTATTATATTTTCTGGTGAATGTACCTACCGTTGCCTTGAATTCATAGACAAAATCATCTACAAGCACAGGATTAGAGGCATCTGTTGCAAGTTCGCAATCTGAAAATGAGAAATTTGTCAATTATAAGTGTCTGAGTCATCTGTTTCTCCAATATTTGTTAATTGCCTGAAGTTATGCCTACTTTTCCTCAGTGACATCTATAATTTACACAATTTCTCACTACGGGGGATATATTGGTGAGGCAGGTGTTCACCTTAATGTAGTAATAAACATAATGGTTGCGTATGAATTTTGGAGCGATTGTTTTGTTATCAGATTATAGACTGAATATTTCAGCTTAATGGATATGGTTTGTTTAGGTGCATCTCGAGTGTAATTTAGGCAATTGGGACCTTCTAAAGGTCAAGTCAGTACACAACTTAAAATCAACATTCTTCCCCGTGTTAAAGGGAGAATCAGGTCCATAGGGAGTGACAAAATTGCAAGCAACGTGTCAGTTGACCTACCGATATACTCCTTACAATCTTAAATATAATATCTCTCAAAAGATCCATTATATGTTGAATAGGTGATGTCATCAAAAATTCAAAGTGTCAAAATGGGAAAATTTGTTTAGATTCTCCCGAATAATAAAAATGGTAACCAAAAAAATAAATTATGAATGCGTCATTATAAAAATCTTTAGTTTTCCTCAAAAACAGTATATACACGTTGGGTATTTTAACTAAATATGAAAAGGAAGTATATGAACCAAAGATACTAGAATAGTATTCTAAAATTGAAACAAATTTGTCAAGTGTGATTTAGGATCTTGCTAGATCTGATTCTGCCTTTAAGTCAATTATTCGAAATATCGAAATGAGTTAGGGATAATGTTTCTTTAAACCATACCATGACATTCTCAAGGCATGTCACTAATTATCATCGAGGGATTATTCAATAGTCTAGTTTTTATAAATCCACATAAATACAGCAGCAATCCAAAATGGCTGCCCTAATTATGTGCTATATTTTTTATTCAACTTGACTGGTCGGTACAGTGCTTCCACAGGCCTTGCCCACATTTATTCCATAACTAGACTATGCCTACTAGTTAATGAAAACACAGAATGAAGTTCTGCGCAAGGGGCTGCTGTAAAAAGAGTCGGCGAGTCCCGTGAAAGCAATGGACCTCAATATATCGAGCAAGTGAAAAGCAAACATTTAGCACATGTTCATACGTTGGATTTATACCTTTAATTATAATGACGCTTAGAATTACGGATCCTTTAAAACAATTTTCTTGGATTTGAAAAGCAATTTGTGGTAGAATTTTAGACGAATCTAAACTAGACATCAGAAACGTTAGTTTATATTTCACTTACCGTTAAAAATATCCTTAAAAACAATCATCTTGTGTGGATGTTTTCAGATGTGTGCAATCAAATCAGCAGGAAGGGTTTTATTATGATAAAAAGAAACAACCAATGAAAATGCATTCAATGTGGATATTGCTTACGTATGGTGCAGTCAGTCCACAGGCTACAAATCATGGCCAAATAATTCATGTTACGCAATGAGAGTGTATTCAATTCAGACGTGTCTGTGCCTTAGACTGATATAACACATGAAACGTGAATATTGATCAGACCAGTAGATTTTATTTAATTTCCGGCTAATTGTAGCCAAATACTGTACACCTAGAAAATATCTGTAATATTTTTACAATTATGTCATTTTCACTGAATTGAATTGAGATAGCTAGTTTGAGTAGATCGTAGTTCCAAAGCAGTCACTTTTAAATCAATCACTGGCCCGTAGCAGAGAGGAGCGGTCGCTCCCACCACCCTCCCTGACCAGGAATTCTTTCAAAATCATGCAGTTTTTCACCATTCTGAGCATGATTTTTAGCCAGAACTGTCGTTAAGTCCCCCCCCCCCACACCCTGGCAAAAGCTCCGCTTGGTAATAGCGCTCCCCTTGGTAAAAGCTGGCTACGTGCCTGAATCATTTGAATTTGTAAGCAAACTGACCTTAAAGTCCTGTAGCTTGTTTTAACCTTTTAAAATTGCCAATTGTGGATTCTCGTCTACTTGTGAAAATCAGTAGTACACGAGCTGAAAATGGTTACCCCAGTCTTATGGTAGCTAGTGACCATAGTCTGAATTTGTACAATCAGAACGCTGACCGTGTTTCGATAACTTCACGCATAAGATTTTAGGTTTTAAAAAGTATGACATCTTTTCTATTTTAACGTTTTATTGAATGTATAAACAAAGGTGGTTACTTCTCTTACTCTTGGGCTTTTTAAACACTCCATCCACATGTTTACAATACAATTGTTTTCTGTACAAAGTACAATAAAAGTATCGGTGCTCTAGTATGACGAGCCGAATTAACGCCATTTGTTTACTGTTCAAAATGATCAGTTATATTCCGAACGCAAACAAACCTAGTGCCGCGGAATGGAACGCAGGTGTTACTAATGATTTTTAGGGTGTAAACTGTTTATGCATTTGCACTTGGGCCTAAAGTGAAGGTAGTCTTCCTGACTTGTTCCTGTTCTGAATTGAGTGATGGGGTTTGGCTAATTTAGGTTATGACACGATCATTACAGCTTTTTTATTATATTAAATTGTAAGCGACATAGGTCGATTCACAGTTTCGAAGATTCATAAAGCAAGACGAAACAGTGAGCGATATAAAATATTTGGCACGAACAACAATGATGTCAATATGTAGCCAACATTTAAAATATATCGTCAATTAAAGCCTCTATATAACGTTTAAACCACCTTGACTTTTGTTAAACTTCTCAAAGTTTATGTATTTTATTGTATTATATATCCCCTTATTCAAACAGTGTAGTACTGTAGTAGTTTGTTTTATCATCTTATATTGTAGTTTTTAGCTTAACCCATGTACATTGTATTTGTGGTAATGCAATAAATAATTAAATTAAAATTTAATATGTGAAACTTTTATTTCAAAAAGTGTTTTTAAATCGTGAATTTATTTCAAACTAAATTTATGTATCTTTCATTCCTAATGTCTGCAGGGGTTTTTCTCTACTACTTTTGCCATTTTTTGTGCATCCATTATTTTCACTTTGAGCTACAGTAGGCTAATTTGTTTGTTTGTTCTCTTATTGGGGTTTTCTTTTGGGAATATATTTCGATTTTGCCATATTGAATTATCAGCCCTAAGCTACAGAAATTGTATAAAACGCTTTTGCGAAAAATCAATGTGATTGGGGGTATAATATTGGGGCAAATTTTGGATAATCGCGGAAGTTGATGCCAATAAAAATTAAATACATGAAACATTAACCTTTTTCCCAATGCTGTCGAAAATGCAAAGTAATCAGTATTGCTCTGTTTAATAGATAATCATTTAGCAAATTGAATTTTGAATATTTGATGATTAAAAAGTTGTAGCTTTTATTAGAAAAATTGCGAGAAATTCGAATATTTGAGAAGCAAAAAGCTGACAACGTATTTTCAAAGATTTTCACTAAAATAACGTTAAGTCATGAAAAATAACCAATGAATTCATACTTTACATGGGGCCTTTAATGTTATATATGTGGTACCATGGTATTTCGGGTATGTCCTAGTATTTTAACATTGGCTAAAAGCCACATTGATTTGAAATACGCCCTCCTACAAAGCAAGTATTTTGGTAATAAGATGACCATTGTTCTAATTTTTGCATAATTGTGGTGGCCCGAGGCTATTAGTATTACTGCCCCCCCCCCCTCTAGACAGAGATGTGAACATAGGTGTCAGTGATACTACAACGGACAGACGACTCGACAGGTCTAGCCCATACTGACATTCATGAATGTTAGTGAAGATGGTGTGAAATGAATTGATTGAAAGGATAATTGAAGGCATTTTGTATTCAGTCCATTACTTAGTTTTCCATCCCCGAAAAGTTTATTCTCTGCCGTCTATTTTTTCCAAAATAACATATGTTATTAAAATTATATACGTTTAGGATGCCTTGTACTGTTCATTTCCATATTAAGCTGTTAGAGGGCAGTTTAGAAAAATATCTTATTTTGATCTCCGTGCACGAAGGACAAGAGAGGTTTACAAGGCATTAACATGACAAAATGTCACAACTTAGTTGCTCACAATATTATGAGTTCAATCTTAAGTCAGATTTGAATTTCTGAGAACTTGTAGATGATTTTGAGAAAATAAATTGTTCAATTTGAAAGCAAGTTGAAAAAAGCCCCTTTTTGACCCTGAGAAGGTCATTGAAGGTGAAATCTCGAAATCTAGATTTGAACTTTTGAGAGCTTGTAGATGATTTTGAAAAAGTTTGTCAATTTGAAGCAAGAAAGATCTTGTTGACCTTGAGAAGGTCATTGAAGGTCAAATTTTTTAGACCTTGAAAATGCCATTGAAGGTCAAATCTATAGCCAGATTTGAACTTTTGAGAAATTGGTCAATTTGAAGCAAGTTGAAAGACCTTTTCGACCTTGAGAAGGTCATTGAAGGTCAAATCTTAAATATACAGTCAGATTTGAACTTCTAAAATCTTGTACATGGTTTTGAAAAAAATCAGTCAGTTTTTTTAAGTTATTGGAAGTTGTAAGAATTTGTTACAGACGCCGATCGCCGATCGACAACCGCCGACCGATGCCAAAAAACGGAGACCATAACAATATTATATTATGTCACCACCAAAAATAATAACCTTGTTAAAATCACGGCTAAACAGTAAAAAAAAAAGTCACTTCACATTTTACTGAATTTATTAAGGAAGACTTTTTAAAATTATTTCCAGTTAATACATTCTTTTTATGAAATTTGTATTATTTTTTTACTTATCATAGTTTTCATTGAAAATTTGTGAAGTTGGTGGTGTTTTCAACCAGATTATCAATAATAGATTGACCCGATAGCTAACAGTCGGAAAGTTGAATTTGCCAATACAAGCTAAATATCCCTCCATAGAGAAGTTCACGCTTTGGCCAGGCGCTTTGGAAGGCACTCTCTTACATTGGATGCTGCATGATCTGGGAACCAACAAGGGGGGGGGGGGGCAAATTTCAAGTCAGAGAAAAAACTTCCGCGTAAAAAAATTTTGGGCCCCTAAAACGCAAAAGTGGGCCCAAATTTTGAAATTTTGAGGCCCATTTTCTTCAAAATTTGGCCTGAATTTAAAAAATAAGGCCTTAAAGGACCCAGTAATGACCAAAAAGGCCGACTTGGCCCTAAATTTTTTTTGGGCCCCCGCACATCACATTTAGGTTCGGAATGTAACGCGGAATATGGCATATATTTATAGTTGTGCGGTATTGTGATACGGGTGAATATGCCATACTCACCTGTGGTATATGGCATATTCCGCAGGTGAGTATGCCATATTCCACAGTGAATATACGATACGTTGATTTTAGTGAATATCCGATACTCACTGCGGAATATGTCATACTCTCCCAGGGAATATTGCATACTCACCTGCGGAGTATGCCATATACAGAAAAACCTGTCTAATCCGAACGCCATTTGGACCGGATAAAAGCGTTCAGATTAGGAGGTGTTCACATTTCGAGGTGTTTGCATCCGCAATAATCCGGATTCTGAAGAAATGTGAACACATTCTCGGTAAATATTTATAGTTCTTTTGACCACATAGCTTTATGGCATTCCAGAAATTTGAAAATTTGATTTAAACGAATCTAATCATGCTGAAAAGCCCCATTATGAATGAGACCATTCAAGATTATTTCACAAAGTTTTGATATCATGACAAAATTTGAGCAGTTTTGTATAAAACATCTGAAATTTTATGATAAGTGTTCAGATTAGACAGGTGAATTTTTCAAATATGACTGTTCACTGTTCAAATTGGGAGGTGTTCACATTTCAAGGTTTTTTTAACATGGGAGTCAATGGGAGGAAAAATGGGACCGAAAAAAGTGTTCAGATTGGGAGGTGTTCGGATTAGCCAGGTGTTCGGATATACAGGTTCTACTTCTACTAGCGATTTAGAAAGCCTCGATTTGATTGGTCAAGAGAAGAATCTATTCTAAATGTAAAACTAAGCTGGATTACCAATATTCACTGGGGAGTATCGTGATGCAACAACACCGTGTTGTTGCATCAAGATGGCCAGACTTCCGGTGATAGATTTTCGTACGATATGTTGCTTCCCCAGTTTAAACCCATTTTTAGGACGAGTTTCTCAATAACCATACACGTGAAGTTAGCGCACGATCTATATTTAAAGAAACTGTCATTATTATACATGTAGCATCATCAAGAAGCAAGAAGTTCACGGTTTTAGTTCCTCACTATTGATGCAACAACACCAAACCGAAGATGCAACAACACTCTTCTAGATTTGAGCAATGATGCAACAACACCAATTAATAGTATAATTTCAGAAGACCATAAATCTCGAGAGGAACAGATTTTTAAATGCTACTATTGCAACACCGGGCCAGTACCCATTTGCGTTC